TCAAGTGGCATAACTGTCTTAAGTTGACAAGCCCTTGAGCCTTGTGTAATATGGGAAGCAAGCAAAGCTATACGAACAGCAAGATTAAATCAAAGTAAATCAGGTAGTTCAGAGTTATAACGACTAATTTATGAACTTTTTGTCTTTTTAAAAGCATTGTTTTGTTAATGGGTTCTGCTATAGTGTCCGAAGATTATGTATATCTTACATAATCTTGTGTGTGACTAATAAAGGTTATCTTATCTTAATCTGCTGGATTACATAACATAATTACTCATGGTTTAATCTGGAATATAGCTGCTGAATTCTGAACCTCGCGCCACATGGACTTTAATGTGGGAAAACTTTGATTTATTTATTTTTTGTAGGATATCGACAGGATTTGGTTAGAAAATTGATCATGTTAGAATATAAAAAGAAAATACTAAAATAAAAGCTGGTATTCTCTTGATGGACACTAGATGGCAGTAAACAATTATTAGGAAATTCAAACACCTGTGAAACCAGTCTGGATGCTGCTGAACACTGATAAGTCCAAAAATAAAATAGGCAACTATTGCAGAAACAGGGCCATAAATTACTGTGGCTCAAATTTGTTTCAGCAAGATCTGTGCTTGTGCTGAAAAATATACATAAAAAAGCATTAGTAGACACGTTATCAGACGTACCCTTCCGGGGAGGAGATAACGGGGTTAAAAGAGATGCTCTTGATAATTATGTTTACCACACGAGGGTAACATACAGTACTGTACAAAGATACTGGTTCACTACATGAACCAGTGTTGTGTAAACACATAACAGACAGCTTAGCAAAGAACCCATTCTAAACTGTGTCTTTAGGCACTTTGTTACTAGCAGCCTGTCACCAAAGCACATAATTTGTGTTGTTGCACCAACAATATAAATCCCACTGAACATATTGCGGCACTGTGTGCTTTTTTTGTTGTTGTTGTTGAGAAAACTGGACAAGTGGAGGACAAAAGAAGAAGTGGAAGGTCTGAAAAACTATGTACAGCAGATGAAATGTCTCTGGAAGTCATGTCCTTAATACAAAAAAATCCAGCAAAGACTATCAGTTGATCCATGAACAGAAGCTTCATTAGAAGAGGTTTCACTGGAATTATGGACACAGGGAGAAATGGCTGAACTGGACTGAAGATCAATGGAAACAGGTATTATGGAATGGTGAATATGAAAAACAAACAAAAAAGTGAAATTTGGGAGATGGGTACAACAAGACCATCTGGAAAGCATCTGATTGGCAACAGCTTCGTTTTTTTTAAGATAATGTAGTAAAAACATACCTGGATATAAAACTCACACAATCAGCTATGGATTGGCCTCATCTTTTATGTTTTGGATTTGAGGTGCTAAATATTAGCTACCATCAAAATATATAGATAATGTAAGAAAGTACATATTCAGTTTATTTGTTTTGATCTCGATGTTTTTCCACCATCTGTATTAATTCTCCAAACATATCTTCTAAGGGCAGTAATGGACGACAAATACCACAAGGCCACAGCAATGCGATTCAGAGAGGCTTTAAACACCAAAGAAGAAGAACGGTATCCGGCTCTTTGTTTGACGTTGCATCCGGACTGAATTAAGCTAATGTTGCCCACATTTCAAACGTATAAACGAATCGACACCATGTTTCTGCTTATCTAAAATGTCCAAATCATCTCTCGATGCAGGGTAGAACAACAGGCAGTGTTGTGGCACGTGTGTCCTGTTTCTGTGTCTATGCAGCTAACTGTTTAGCCATGCGGGAGGCACTTCATTGTTAGCCTAGCGGTAGCCATGCTCTCCGCTTTCACTTGTCTTTTGCGTTGCGGCTTTCTGGCGACAGGGACCACAGCTAGTAGCTAGCCTGGCTGCTAGCTAGCTAAGCACTTTCCACACAGTATTAACGTTTTGTCTTCTTTTATGGTGTACGTGCTTTAGCGTTTTCTAACGGTTTCTTTTCTACCACATTCCGCACAAAGGCTCCACTCTGCGGAAATTGTTTCAACTATTAGCTAGTAGCTAAGCTAGCCGGCTAACCTGGAGGAACGTCACTCTCCTATATGACATTTAACTCTGCGTTGACGTTGTCTTGACCTGACCGTTATATTTTAATTCTGCCGACCCGAGAAGGCCTCGTAACAGTTTCCTTCCGTCGAGTATCGGAGTTTCTCTTTCTTTTTTCCTGGTTTCTGTCCCGTCGACTGCCACGATGGCTTCTTCCTCTGGAAATGACGACGACCTCACCATCCCGAGAGCAGCTATCAACAAAATGATTAAAGAAACTCTCCCCAATGTACGGGTGGCTAACGATGCCAGGGAGCTTGTGGTTAACTGCTGCACAGAGTTCATCCACCTCATATCCTCAGAAGCCAATGATATATGCAACAAGTCGGAGAAGAAAACCATTTCCCCAGAGCATGTCATCAACGGTGAGTCCAGCTTTGTTTTCCCTGTACCCTGAAAGATGTGTGTATGTGTGCAGCACCATGTAATGAGCCTTAAACCACAGAGAGTAATTAAAACACTTTCGCGTCCTGCTTTCGCACCGCAGCGCTCGAGAGCCTCGGTTTCGCATCGTACATCACGGAGGTGAAAGACGTCCTGCAGGAGTGTAAAACTGTTGCTCTGAAGAGGAGAAAGGCCAGCTCGAGACTGGAGAACCTGGGCATCCCTGAAGAAGAGCTCCTCAGGCAACAACAGGAATTGTTTGCAAAGGTATGATTTTGAGAGAGGCGACACAAGAAACAGTACAAATTCACATAATTCAGCTCAGGGAACTGACTTCCACACCAGGTCATTTAGTCTAACCCTGAGGGGCATTTAAAAATCAGGTTTAAAAAACAGCAAAGACATAATAAAATGATAAAAAGCAACTGTTAGAAAATGTCCAGGTGCTTCCAACAGCCACTGAACTAAGCATAGCTGTTCTGACTAGAGGAAATCATTCTGTGCGGCTTTCAGAGCCTGTGAAAACAGTGGAATTGAAAATGTGAATTTATTGCTGCCACACCGTGTTCTACAAAATAATTAAACAAACCAGCACAACTATGATTGCTCAGAAATGTTATAATAAACAAAATTATTGGACCAGAACTTCATATTATGTAGAGATCTGAGTTTTTATGAAGTAGGTCTTTTGTGATTGGTCTTTTGTTTTGGGCTAAGTTCCTTAGGAAATGAGTAAGCCTTTAGGGAGAAATACAACAAAGCCATGTCCGATTTAAATCATCTGTGTGCTTAGTGGGTGTTACACACAACCACTTGAGGTACATTATTTGCACGATACTGTTCAGTAATGCATGACAGATCCATTTAGTTAACTTTCAGCAGTACTTTGCTAATTATTAACTCAATCCCTTTCTAGAAACAAGTATAAGCAAGTATAATTCAGCGATAGTAATATGTTGCAGAAACTTTATTTTCATTTTTTTCAATGTTCAGTGCTATAGTGACATATAAAACGAAAGTGTCTTAAAATATTCAAGTTCTAATTAGACATCAGATATCACCACCATGAGCTTCTCTAATTGCCTGATATAATCCTCATTCACCTTCGCCTGTCTCATGCCTCTCATGTGTTTGTGAAGGCACGACAGCAGCAGGCAGAACTCGCTCAGCAGGAATGGTTGCAGATGCAGCAGGCCGCCCAGCAGGCACAGATGGCGGCAGCATCTGCCACTGCTGCCCAACAGGCCGGTTCCTCTCAGGATGAAGACGAAGAGGATGACATATGATCCCAGGATACCGTTCAGCTTGTCCGAATCCCTTCCTGGGACAGTGTTGGTGGGCAAACCTCCCAGTGCTGTTGTTGACAGAGACTTGAGATGTGTTTGACCGCTGGTGCACATCAGTGACACAAGGAAAATGCACATTTGGTATCGACAGTGGAGATGGAGTTGGAGGGGGATGTCAACATGATGATACCAGAACCTGAAATTTGTTTGGTTTGAAAAGCTGTTAATAAAATTTGGATTATCCCCCCACCCCCACCCCCCTTTTTTTTAAGTTACTTCCGTTTAATTATGTCTTGATGTTATGTTGTGAGTAATTTGTAGATTTCTGGATGTACTGTGGATGCACTGAAGGCACATTTCACTGAAGTTTGGTAATGGTGCAGCAGGTGTTTGCTCTTTCAGGTACTGCACCAACTAGCTTGTTTATGTCAACCATAGTACTAGATAACAATCAGTGGTGTAGGCGAATCGCTCCTGACGACTCCAGAGCATCTAATTCCTCTTCTCTTGTCTTTGCCATTTTGTCAAAAAGGGTTTTCTTTACCCCTCTGTGGAGTTATTTGTTCGACAGTGGAAGGATTGAGGGGGCGTGAATATTGAAATTGTACTATTAGATAATGAAAAATACATTTCTGTTTTAGCTTATTCAGAAACATTATGTTGTTTCCTTTCTACCTTGAACTACACACAGTATTGGTTCTTAGCTGCACCTTTGAAAAACTGAATATTTTTGTCTGATAGAACCAAAGATAGACTAACAGCCCAGAGTTCGTGTTTTGTTTTCTTTTTAAGGTGTAGGTGCTACTGTGATTCTCATTGCTGACTCCAGATCAGTGTGAATAATGTTAAATATTATTAACCTATAACTTTGTAAAACGCTTTGATATCGAGGCCAGATTTGTTATTTCCCTTTTCCTTGGGTGCAGTATCAAACATTTGCATTGTGACTGTGGTCAATCCTCAGTGTAAAGATAAGTAACCTAGTTGTGATACACATTCACTTGCCTATACTACAAAGTTGTATTCTTTAAGCAATAAAGGAATCATGTTTTATAGACCAGTGTTCTCTGATCTTTTTAATGCCTAATGATTCCACCTCCTGTCCCTTCTGCACACGCTCTGTTTGAGCCTGATGTCTGGCGTATCCCATATGAGAGTCAGATGTGTGTGAGCAGGTAGATGAGCTTCAGTGGAGCACTCAGCTTGTCTGAACAACACTTTCTTTTTATATTTTTTTACCCAAAATATTTCTTACAAATGGCAGGAGCGATCATAGAGAAGATGAGCACTAAAAAGTTGGTTTTATTTGTTTTCTTCATTTTATTATTCCAAATATTTTCCATCTTGGTTGGAGCATTAATATGTAAGTAGATTTTTTAATATATTTTTAAATTTATTTGCAAATAATAATGTTTTCTAATAATTATTTGGAGTAATTTATCTTATTCAATCTTTGTTATGTGCATTTAGATGGGCTTATATGTTACTGCACTGCAGATTCTACTCAGCCAGCCAATGAAAGCTGGCGACATTCTTTTAATGTTCTCAATTATTTCCTCACTGTTTTCAAATTTGTACCAAGTTTCTTATTTTTATTTTTCGTTCAAAGTGTCATTTAACTTTTAGAAATGGAACTAAATTACTAGTATTTTATAGAAAAAAAAAAAAATCAAGCTGGATTTGGTGTTGTGGTGTACAGGCATGTCTCTGCCAAAAATGATTACAGTATAATTTGTCTCACTTTTTTCACTTTCAGTTACATATATTTTAATTATCTTTAGGAACCAGTAAGTAATTTTAAGTACTGGTAATTACACCCCAAAACCAGAAGAAACTACATGCTAGATGTTACAGCATAGGTCGTGGGCTCTATATTGAAGTTTTTACTGAGACTGGAAGATCTGCATGAATTGTTTATAATAAATGTACAATGTATTCTAAAAACTAAACATTTAATTTAAATTCTTGATTGCAAGCAGTTTAGCTTGTTTCTACACCTGGGTGAGCAGTTTTGCATCTTTTATCTTGTAGAGTTTCCTTATTTAATCATATTTATAGTTTTTGCATGGAGTTTCTTTGCACATACTGTATATTTTTTGTTGTTTGCGTGCTTTTGAGCTACTCAGCTTGATTGTAAATGCAGGATAGCCCTCAATGATTTCAATTTTAGGAAAATGAAGTCTAATTAACATTATTTTTTTGTGTTGGAAGCGCTCTGGAAAACAAATTTTCCCAATGCTCTTAATGATTAAGCTTTAGTCTGTCTTTTTTCATAATATATATCTGATTTCTTTTATAATAGCTCCCAGTCCTACCACTGCAATCAGCTACTTGGCCACCAAATGCATCAATTTCCACAGGACACGTGCTTGGCTCATGCCATGGGGCTCAAATCGATGCCAGCAGGTCCACAGTTTTGACGACCCTTTGGCAAAAACGCTTGATGCCAACGACATTGTTTTTGCTGTGCATGTACCCCTACCCAACACTGAAATGAGTCCGTGGTTTCAATACATGCTGGCTGTTCTGCAGTTTGACATTGCATTCAAAATGATAAATCAGATTGGTAAGATGTGTGTCTTGTCTTTGTCAGAAATGTAAATAGTAGTTTCCTAGTTACAGTGGGTTTCTAATAAAATGAGCAATTTTCCTGCCTGTGTAGAAGATGATGTGGTCATCACTATCGATGCCCGTCTGGCATACAGGGATGACATGGCGTCTGAGTGGACCACAAAATTTCACTCGGTGGAGCAAAGGCCACTCAGGTGCACATTTGCAGTATCCAAGGTAAACCTGCATGACTCCGTGTTATACACAGAAATGAAAAATAGTTACATTTTTCTCTGCTTAGTGAGAAAAAACTCAGTGTTATTTTTTTCCAGACGTATGAAAACGAAGGGCGCTTTTATCACTGTGACCCAATACCATTCATGGAGCTGGGAAGTGTAGCCCACAAATATTTTTTAATGAACCTGCGTTTGCCAGTGAATGACACAATGAACGTTGGCATCGGGGAAATAAAGGACATCCATGTAGTGGTGAGTATAATTTCTACACGTTAACTTCGGATACACGGCATGTTGTGTTTGAATTAATCTCCAAAGGCTGAAAATTTTGCACTCTGACATCTGATGACCCTCCTCTTCCTCAGGGCATCCACCAGAATGGAGGCTTCACCAAAGTGTGGATCAGCATGAAGACTGTGTTCAGTCCCTGGATATCAGTGGCTACAGTTTGGTACTGGTACAGGATTCGGCTCTTGGCGAGACCTCCGGTCCTTTTGGAAAAGTATGTTTTGGCTAGCCTACATGTAGAAAGAGAGATTAAGAGCGACATTTTAACATTTAAGTATATTTATGAATTTTATGTCAGAATACTGAGTTGAATTTTAATAATTTCTCAAATGATAAAAAACAATGTAATAATAATAATAATAATATTACTACTACTGCTCCTACTACCACTAATAAGAATAAGAATATTTAATTTTGAGCACTTTTGGTTGCGATTGCTGCCTCTGCGGACTGATTTTATTGAGATTTTATTGCAGACTGAAACAAAATCATCTTATTTAAAAGGTAGAGTGAAGTTATACAATACAGCTACTTGTAAGGAGCTCCTGGCTCTTTTATACTCAATGAGAACTTAAAACTGCGAGTAAACCTTCTGGCATACTTTTAAGAGCTTGTTTTTCAGAAGTCCAACATACTTCTGTGGAGCATTTCCAAGCAGAGGAAATGAAAAGTGTTTGATCTAAAGTGCATGATTGCCTAGAGCTAGGTCATTGCTCCATTTGCAATAGAGCAGAAGGAGTTATTTGTCTGTTAGAGTGGATGTAAGTGTTTCTTTCACTGATGTATTTGTCCTGCTCAGGGTAATTTTTGCTCTGGGCCTCTCAATGGCCTTCCTGGACATGCCGGTGGAGTGGCTGTCCATGGGCTTTGAGTGGACATGGATGCTGCTGTTTGAAGATGCCCAGCAGGGCGCCTTATACTCTGTACTCTTCTGTTTCTGGATCATCTTCTGTGGTGAACACCTCATGGTTAGCAGGTCTTTCTTTGCTGTTGCACATTTCTCTGCACTTTCCTGCCAGTTGTTACTTATTCTTTCATTCATTAAATCACCAGGACCAATGTCAGAGGAATCTCCTCTCAGCTTATTGGTGGCAAGTTGGGCTTGTGGTGTTTGGATCTTGTGTTCTTCTCATATTTGACTTGAGTGAAAGGTAAATGTTTTTCATTTTTTGTGTTATTAGTGTGGATTTAATAAAAAAAAAAAGTAAGTTGTTTTCTCTCTTACCGAAGGGGGATTCGTTTGAGCAATCCATTCTACAGTGTGTGGGCATCAGAATCCAGGAGTAAGATTGCAGTATCCTTCAAATATCTCTTCTTTATTATAAAAAGTAATTTAGCAGTCAGGCTACCATTAACATCCAAGCTTTTTTTCTTATCTGAAACCACATATTACCTTCATTATTGTGGCAGGGATTTCTGTTTGCCTTTATTTCTTCTCCCTGTGTCGCATGGTGCACTGTGTGTTCAGAACCATTAGTGGGAAAATGCAACAGCTTCCTACAATGCCAGAGACTCGGAGACTGCGCTATAAGGTTTCATTTTATATCAAAATCACAAAAGAAAAAGTAGTGAATTTGACAAAAAGAAAAAGCTTTTCATACACTAGATTATGCAGAAATTCTACTTACTTTACTGACTGTAGGTGTGCTTCCCCCCCCCCCCAGGGTATTATTTTCAGGTTTAAATTTTTAATGCTGGCAACACTCACATGTGCTGCTCTCACCATCATCTTCTTCATCTTAAATCAAGTAAGTTTTAACCTTCTAAGGAGCAGCAGTTTTAATTGCAGTTTGTTCTTCTTTAAAATATGTTTATGATTTGTTATTTGGACATGTTTGGGTTTCTTAAAAATGATTTCAAATATTCGTATTTTTTCAAATAGGTCAGCGAAGGTCATTGGCACTGGGGAGACTACACTCTCCAAGTCCACAGTGCTTTTCTTACAGGAATCTATGGCATGTGGAACCTGTACGTTTTTACCATTATCTTCCTCTATGCCCCCTCACACAAGCACAACAGGAAGAAGTCAGGAGACACTCAACACACAGGTGCGTAACAGTTCTGTTGTTTGGTCAGAATTCAGTTTAGCGAACCGATGGCGAGAGATATTTGCTTTGTAAATATGCTGGAGGTGTTTATCTGAGATTATGTTGCAGATATGACGGACAAGCCCGAGAGCCAAGAGACACAGCTGACCTGTGGAGAGCAGGGGCCAACAGAGGTCTACAGGATCACTGGGAAGGTGGCTGAGGAATAGCTGCTGGGCTCGCTTTAGTTTCAGGACATTTGTGGTGTGTTATCTTTTAATTTGATGTTACTTGCCAGAGTCTTCTACACTGTTGAATGTACAAGTGAGCCATTGTGCAATACTGTACCCTTTAACAATGAAAGTAAACAGACTGGGGAAAACAAAAGCTAAAGGAAGCTACAGTATAAGGAAAAGTGAGGAAAGCTTGAATATTCAAAGTTAGATTCACTGGAAGGTCAGACCTTAGAGGCCTCCAAAAGCTGCTTATTTTAAACTTTGTGACCATGGGAAAAATAATTAAAGCATGCTATAAATTGAAGTTCTTATTGTTATCTAACAGACATCTTCTACGTGGTATGACAGGAAATTTGTTAACTTGTGACTCCCCTTATGTGACTACCGGTATGTTGTTACAACCTCCTATAATGTAGATTTGTTTCCTTAAACTTGTAATGAAAAGAAAAAGTGGCCAATCTTTTCAATCTTTGTATCTTTGCAAAATGCCAAAATAAATCTAAATCCTTTGTTAAATACTTGGTTGAATACTATATATATACAGTATATGGCTCAACGAAGTGCATGGACAGTTAAATATTTCTTCACAATTTTTCAGGTTTTGTGCACATTCAGTCTAAAACACAGATACAAAATACAGCTTTAATTTTTTTAATGTAAATAGTGAAAAAGCATTATGTGAAAGTATTATATATATGCTTTCTATTAATAAAACAGTGCTCAAATTGCTTATTTTAACTTACTTTGCTACTGAATGTTTCTGGCATTTATTACTTTATGCAAGAATGAGCTTTCATGACTGAGGTGCAGCGTAAGGTGGTAACAAACAAATAAATTAAATCATACATCTAGACCAGGGATCTCAAGTATGTTGCCAAAGTGCCAGAACACTCATTTGGCACCAGATGAAAAGTCTGAAAATTAGTCTGAAGTGTTAATTTTATAGACGTCTAAGATATTTCCCATGGCCTGCCAGAGATAAACCAAAAAAAATAAATAAAAAAAATTAGGTGTTTTTTCCAGCAAATATTTGATTATATCACTGAAAATTTCCTGCTTGTGTTTCAGTACATCCACTGTCCTGTTTGTTTTTTATTTATGGAGCAAAGTCCGGGTAAAAGACTACTAGTACTGTATCTGTAACTTTAGACATTTACTTCCTTGATTGTGGTTAAAACCCGAGGAGTCCAGCTAACAGCTCTCTTTATCTACAATAACAGCATTTCTTTAATGTGAAAAAACCCCCCAAACAAACCCTGAGGCCTTTTTGCAATGGCATGTAATTTTCTTCATCATGTCAGACTGTTCATCTGCAAGATGCTTTATGGAATGTTAATGTTTTCAGAATGTGCTAAAACCTATACTAGAAGAAATGGGAAGAATTTCTAGTTTTAAAAATGTTTATTTGGTTTATTCATTTTTACATGGACATGTATTACATGTATTAGGGGTGCAACAATACTATCGATATTGAACCGTTCGATACAGTGCTTTCGGTTCGGTACGCATATGTATCGAACAATACAAATTTTTAAATTTATTTTATCAACTTTCCTTTGGAAGATGCTGTCTGTGTTGAGCGCTCAGTGGATCTGCGCTCGACAGTGCAGCCTAGGCGGAGTAGTCGAACACAGATTCACTGAGCACAAGGCAAGCTAGCAGACAGAAATTAAGCTCTCATTGCAACATGGCAAATTGAACCTCCCCTACCCTCATTCAGATCTGGAGTTTGGAACTATTTTGGTTTTCATGTGACGTATGACCCTGAAGGTAAGCCATGGACAAAAGTAAAACAGTATGTCGGATGTGCCACGCAATGCTCAATTACAT